GATAAAGATCGTGAAGAAATGGTGGATTAAACGAGTGCAGAACGAAGCGAAAAACCAACCAGTATTTGTTAAAGAAAGCCTGGAACTGAATCTTCAAGAGAACGATGAACATATCCTAGAATGTAGAGGAAGAATTCAGGGCGTCTATCCTGTATACCTACCTGACAACCATACCTTTACCGAGAAAGTAGTTGAAGATTCTCACTTGCAAACGCTCCACGGGGGAGTGACCTTAACAATGACCCACGTCCGAAACATCTACTGCATCCCCAGATTAAGAAGATTGGTCAAGCGTATTCGAAAGAGTTGCTTCGGGTGTAAGCGAGCTCAAGCGAAGGCGTATTCTGTACCGCCCCCTGGAATCCTACCAACAACAAGAACAGAAGGAAAAAATGCGTTTGAAGTTATTGGAGTGGACTTCGCGGGTCCACTTAAATATTGTACAGCTCGAAAGGCTTTCAAGAAATCTTATTTGATCTTGTACACATGCAGCCTGACTCGTGGAATGTATTTGGAATTACTACCAAGCTTAGAGACGGACGAGTTCTTGAAAAGCTTTAAAACATTTATTGCAAGAAGGGGACGACCAAAACTCGTGTATTCTGATAACGGGGGAACCTTTGTGGGAGCAGCGTCCTGGCTCAGACAAGTTATGAATGACGAGAAATTGAACGGCTACTTGGCAAGGCAAGAGATCGAATGGCGGTTTAACCTTAGTCGCGCCCCATGGTGGGGCGGCCAGTTCGAGCGACTGGTGGGACTGGTCAAATCAGCTATGTACAAAGTCATTGGCGGTGGAAACCTATCTTGGAAAGAACTACAAGATGTCATCCTAGATGTCGAGGTAACCCTCAACAACCGGCCCCTTGATTACGTCGAAGACGACGTTCAACAACCTACATTAACACCCAACTCGATGTTGTTTGGACAATCGAATACTATCCCACAACTAGAGCCCCACAACATTGAAGATACAGATCTAAGGAAACGAGCAAAGTATTTGCGAAGGTGCAAGGATGCAGTTTGGCGTCGTTGGACCAAGGAATACCTAAGAGCACTACGTGAGAGACACAACCTAAAACACGGCACGAAGTTGGTTACACCGAAAATTGGTGACGTTGCGATTATTAAGAATGATGAGCGGAATCGAGGGAAATGGCAACTTGGAGTTATCGTGCAACTTATCACAGGCAAAGACGGGATTGTCAGAGGAGCGAAGTTACGAGCGGGAAAGGGTATTCTTGAGAGAGCCGTACAGCAGTTGTATCCATTAGAACTTTCGTGCAATTGTGAGAAACCAAAACCGGCATTGAGAGCCCAAGCTCCTGAGTTTTGACCAAGACGTACTGCAGCGGCTGTAGCGAGATTACGGATTCAAGACGAAGCTGAAGAGGATGAACTTGATTGACGTTCTTAGTAACTATTGGTGGTTTATTCTTATTGTTGTTGTTTGGGAATCTCCGATAGTTAACATATATATCTCAATATTTGAGTTATATAGGGGGAGTGTGTTGGAGATTAACAATATATAAATATATAGACAGTATTAACAGTTTAGAAGCCGGAAATGCGGCATGCGCCAACACTTCCGGTGAAACGAACAGATGTTGTAAAAACATTAGTGATGAGAGCGAGCGTGCGAATGGACATTGTTATATAGGGCGAGATATTAAACTAGTAAAAAAGGAAAGAGATTGTTAACTAAACCTGTGTTTATAAAACTGTGAATTGTCGTAAACACAACAGGAGGCAATTTACGACAAGATAAGGGTACATTAAGAAGGTGTAATACGGGGACAATTTGGTACTCGCAGACACACTGAAATGTGCTCGGTAAATAACACCAATGGCTCGGTTAGTACCAACTTACGACTATATACATGTATAACAGTTTACTTTCTGAGGTTGTCAAAGGAAGTCACATCTCATAGTGTTGTGTGTGTTCGGTTCTAACTTTAAAATGGTCTTTTCATTTCAATTTGCCTCAAAAGACACACTAGACTAATGTATTTTTCTATCTTTTAGTGGAATGCTGTTGCATTGTGGGCTTGGGGTAAGTACCATGCGTTAAAATTTTACAAAGTAGGCACTTCGCGAAACAATAGTTTGAAATCGAGACAGACAATGCATTGCAAAAAGGTATAAGTTTTCATTGCCAAGTATCCTTCATCCACCGCAAACCCCTTTCAATGTTGTTTGTGGCTATAATTGGTCTAGGCATGGCACGTTCAAACCTATTAACGACGACACCAACATTGAACAGGGCAGGGAAGAGGTGGATTTTACCATGATAAAATATGACAATTGAAGAGATATACAGGGTGTCTAAAAAAAACGCTATGGAAATTCAACAGGCTGTTGTGCATCATAAACTTAACTAAACTATTCAATTTTTACATAGAACGAAAGAACAGTTATTTAGCTTTTCTATTTTAAACCGTAACGATGAGAAATGGTCACATACTCGTCAAATAAAAATTGTCTGTCGAAATCACATTCTTCCACCGTTGGGAATTGAAAATACATTAATTATGCAAAGTTAGTCAATCCAAAAGCAACGCGAGCCTGCTGCAAGGTACTTGTGTCGTAAAACGTTTTGATTACGAATGTTCTCTGTTCAGTGGTTAATTGAACCATGTTTAATGCAATAGTGACGTTCTTATGGTCTCACTAAGACGAAGATTGACGAGTTGAGCTTATTTTAGATAATTTAACATTCAATTTTAATTCCCTCTTGGGAATTGTTTATGTTTCGTTTTCCATGCAATTCCCAACGGTGGAGAATGTGATTTCGACCGGCAATTTTTATTTGACGAGTATATGTGGCCATTTCTCATCGTTACGATGTAAAAAGAGTATCATTGAAAAGCTAAATAACTGTTCTTTCGTCCTATGTAAAAATTGAATTGTTTAGCGACGTATATGATGCACGACAGCCTGTTGAATTTCCATAGCGTTTTTTTTAGACACCCTGTACATGGCAATATAAATTAAGTTTGTCTTATTTGAAAGAACATGATACATAAACTTCTTTTACAATTATTCCGTATCTTGCTTGGTTTTCGAAATAAATCGACTTATTTTGATCAAAAGCAGCGTCCATTCCGCCTTCTTGGATATGCATTCGATATGCATACGTCACAAGTACGGTGAAAAGCAAAATTTTTATCTTGCAAACCACATGTCATTATCAATATGAAACTTGATTTTCTGACGTCTTTTTAGTACTCAATTAACTCAACAGCAACATTTTAAGAAACTTTTCGAAGAAATTTAGTCGAAAGTGAAGAAGTTTTAACAAGTTTACCCAACCTGTGACGTCATCAAAAACTCAGTTAATTAGGTCAATTATAAAACCAAGATGTATTTCAAATAAGACAGAGTTAATTTTTATTACCATATCCCTTTGCTAACTTGCGCGCTTGCACTGTAAATGTCAACAGGGCGTAGTAAAACACAGGGTGTTTTACTACGCCCTGATGTCAAGGAGTTGAATCAACTCCAAATGTGTTATTTTGTCACTAAAACCACAGATTAAGTATATACCAGATGCGTAACTTAATAGGACTTCGTGTTTCGTGTCCTCAAATTTCCCTAGATGTAGACGTCATGCTTACGCCATGACACATGGCTACCAAAATGGCGTCCTGAAAAACACGAACTTTTGCATTTTATTGCGGCTTTTTGGATCGAAATTTCTGGATTAAACAATCAAGAGCATTATTTGTTGAATGTTTAAAGTTGTTGAAAGCGATTGAATTAAAGTTATATGTCGAAAAGGTGTCGAAAGCATTTTTGAAAGCATTGACGTATTACCAAATGACGAATTATCACGCGAAGTTTTACTGAAGTTACACATCTGTCCTTACTTAATCTATGCCAAAACGGTGACAGAATAACACTTTTGGAGTTGATTTAACTCCTTGAAATATAAGCGCGCGTTCCACATGCAGGCTTAGCCATGAGCCCAGGATTCTTAGCCTGCGAGTGAAGCCTTATACCTCGCCATTATAACAAACGTTTCATGCTTTCACTTGTTATTGAAATTTTGCAGATATCGTCGTTGACAACTGTGCCATTTGTAGAAATCATATAATGGATTTGTGTAAGTGCAGTTATATGACTATCAGTTCGGCGAGGATTATTTTGCCTCCCTAATTTTTCGCTGCCCGCGCCTCAACCCCAACTCCACCCGCTCCGCAGGTTAGGATTTCAACAACTCTATAGTATAAATTAAGCAGTGTTACAACAATATAAAATATGCACTGTGTTTTGAATGAATTTCTATTCATACAAATTCTATGGGGAAAACAAAAGCAAAAAGTCCTATAGCTAAGTGTTCGTTCCTTGTTGAAGTATATGAACGCATTAATTCTGTTTCCCACAGGCATTGAATGTCAAGCCAACCAACAGTCTGCAACTAGTGAAGAATGCACTGTGGCCTGGGGTGTTTGTAATGTAAGTCATTAAGTGTCTTGTTGATATTTTGCTTCACTGGTATTACTGAAGTCTCATTATTAAAGCAGAGGTCTACGGAAACACGGTACATACAATGTAAATACAGTTGAAATCCTATAATATCGAAATATTCTATTTCAAGTACACGTGTGTGATTTTAGACAAGCCCCTGTACTGATCTAGATTTTTGTTGAGTGAATGCATATACAGGGACGGATCTATCTTGGCGGAGAGGGGGGCTGGGGGGACTTCGCACCCCACCTAGTGGTTTCTAGCACCCTCCTGGAGAAGTCCAGCACCACCCTAAAAAATCTGCTTGCCCATACATTTTCTGCTTTTCGAGTAGCGATTAGCTGAACTTCTGCTGTTAGCACGTGTCGATTTCTTGAAACGATTAAACTGATTTGTGAGCTCACGAGAAAATACTCAGAATTCTTCAACATGTATACATGTCGAGGTTGTTATACAGCCATATTTTAAAATTTATATACTGTACTTTAACATAAGTGCCCCCAGTGCTGGAAAATGTCCGGCAGCGCCAGCAGCACCGCTGCCAGGAAATGTTTAACAAAATATCTTTGCAGGAAATTTTCTTGCACCTTGGAGGAAATTTTTGTTATCTTGTATACAAGACTGCCATATAATTTACTTATTGTTTGAAAATTCCAATTCGAGCATTTTGCATAGTCCACACGTTTTCTGAAATTTACATATGCAGGACGTTTTATATAGTTGACTTACACAGGAAATTTTAATTTTTGAATTTTGCTGCCAGGAAGATATATATATTTATAAGGCCTGAGTGCCTCCCCCCCCCCCTCCCCCCCCCCCCGTTCAATGCTAGTCCCACAAAGTTGGAGTTTGTTATAGTATACGCCAACATTGAAATGCGTGGGAGCCGGGAGGAGGAGGGAGATGGGGGTGGGGGGACATATCAAAAATTTTAATAATTGAATAGAGTCATAACGAAATGGAAAAGTATATTAAGTACTGTTTAATAAACGAGCAGGAGTGTTTTATTAGGTTTAAAGACACGAGCGCGCAGCGCGAGTGGCTTTAGACCTAATAAAACACTCCTGCTCGTTTATTAAATAGTACTTCAAACACGACTACAAATTCAATAGATATACTGCCTTATTAGTATTCTTTATATAAAGAATACTAATGAGGACACGACTACAATAGATACTGCCTTATTAGTATTCTTTATATAAAGAATACTAATTAGGAGTGTTTTATCAGGTTTAAAGCCACTGCACGTGACATATTATGGTTGACATGATTTGCCAATAAGCTTATGAATTATTAATGAGTGTTTGAACATTAGTTTTGAACGCGTGTTACGTAACATAGATTCTCCTCTTAAATTAATTTAAGTACTTGAAGCAATTGCTTTATTTTTCATACTTTATATAGTTTCTTACAACTTGGCAAGTTAATTTTATTATTTTCAGTCGTGAATAATCATTCAGGCAATACTTATATAAAACAGCCTTTAATTTTAAAGTGTTTGATATGCACAGATCTAATGACAAATCAATCTACAGTGTGTATAAAAAAAACTGAACCCTTTCAAATTCAAATTATAGCTATAACGTTATATAATACTGTATTTCTTTTAAATTTTCTAATTTTTATTTCTTTGAGTTTTGTCCCATGAGTACAAGACCTTGTGTTCTTACCCAACCATAAATTCAAAGCAATTAGAACTGTGAAATTACTATACAATACGTTATAGCTAATTTGAATTTGAAAGGGTTCAGGGTTTTTTTTATACACACTGTATAATATAGACCAGTGGCGTAGCCAGCCTGACATTTAGTCCCGCTATGCAAATTCAAAATTATTATCATTATTCATTTCTTTAGAAATTGATTGTTTTCACAGTCAATGAACACGAAAACAATTTGCATAGCGGGACTAAATCGTCGGGCTGGCTACGCTACTGATATAGACATTACAGTCGACATGACTGCGTCTGCATGTAGCTATATGTCTTTCTACCGCAAAGAGATGGCTTGATGTGAAGCGTGCATGCGTGATGGGGTTTCGACAGAGGCAGTTGATATTTGTATAAACGTTCCATTTTACTGTTTAATTATATCGTAGCCAGACATTTGTCGGAAAATATGCTTTTCAAATTAAACAATATATCATAATAATTGCATATATGTTATATTGAAAAGACTGTCTGAAAAGATTGTAATCAGCTCAGTAGGACGTGCCTCCTGTTGATTTGTTTTATAACAGCACAGGATGGGTTTAATTAATCGTTGAGTTTTCTATAATATCGTGGAAATTAGACTGATTTTGTAAACACGAAGCGAACTGAAAGACGCCGCTTTCGAAACAAAGAAATTCTGCATGCAAAACAAAATGTTTCGGTAATTTTTGGTTCCATCCCGGGCTATCCTCAACAACGTTGTCATTCTGAATACAACGTTGAACTACTAAGATTTTCACGTCATTGGAGCAACGTGAATGCTCGCTGCGACGTTGGAGGAGTTACAAAAATCTGTCCCATAGCAGACAACGGATCGTTTTTCCTGAACTTAGCCGTTTGTACTAATAGGTTATTTTAAAAAGCTTCAATTTATTACAGTAATCAAGACCCTCAGCTCGCAATATTGAGACCATGCACGTCGTCGTGTTTGCCTCGTCGTCTTTTCTAAATCTGTCATTTAGTTGCTTGCGCGTACATGCAGACGCTTTTCAGTAATCAGTATGTTCATGCATGGGCTGGAACATTAGTCGTGGGTTTGCATTCTCTACAGGGGCCAATTATAAGGCGAAGATCAAAATTTCCCGACAGTTGTCTGATTTAAGGCTTAATTATAACTACGTTTTTCCTGATCATTTTAGTGACAGCGTCCGATGCGCATTATATTGATGGAAGGCTTCATCCCCTGCACGTGTTTCTCTTGCGGTTAAGCCACAAAGTATCTCACGGTTATAGGACACAAACCATGAGGCTTGCGGGGTTTTTAGCATGCTGAGACCAGTGATAGCCATGTAGTAGTTTTGGATCGCTGTCGACAAACAGCTCCCTTGAGTTTTTGGCCAAATAAAAAACTTTTAATAATAATAATTGAAACTATGTACAATATGACATCGGAAAATTAAGGAAAATTAAGGTAACTAACCAAAACTAACCAATATTTTTGAACAACATTGATCATTGCATTCCCAAACAACATAGTTGCATGGAAAACCCATCTACAAAAAATCATCTATCGAACGAGATGCCCCAAAATATTTACACCATATAGTTTTATCGTATAGTATATTATTGTCTAACATGGAGTATATAGAGAATAATACATGAGTGCGCGGAAATACTAGATTTATTTCGAGTGTTGAACATGATATCTCACGAGTGAGCGCAGCGAACGAGATATCATGTTCAACACGAGAAATAAATCTGGTATTTCCAAGCACCCATGTATTTTTCTGTTTATTATATAAACAAAATTCAGTGAAAAACAATAAAACGTCCGTGGCAATGCGTTTTACAACAAATGATATTTTCACACGTAAAAATATCGTATTTTTTACGTGTGTTTAAATACGATTTTTGTCAGTGGCCAAAAACTCTATATAACACTTATGTTTATATAATAAATATATTTATTCCACTGGTTACAAAATACACTTTAATGTGTTACTCTAACGAAGGATTTTCTATAATGAATTGTTGGTAATTTTATACTGTATAGCTGTTCTTAAGTCAGTCTTCAAAACTTCGTTAATACGAATTAAAAGTTTACAGATGAAGAATATTTATCAGGCTTGCTAACGCCATGCCACCAGGCCTCGTCCGCCATTAAATATTATTTATCGTACATGGTTGCATGTTTCATCTCAGCTATCCTTATTTGACGGTTACTTAATCATGATACGAAAATACAATGAGCTCAATCCCTGTGGCCGAGCACAAATTAACGTACAGTAAACTCACTAACTCAGACAAAAACATAATACAATGACTTCTGCATGTTTGATTTCCAGACCATCATCTTATTCATTCGCGTGTTGCCGTCTATTTTCCCCGTGCGGTTTGCCACGCGAAAATGGCGAACAAATCCTGGTCGCATGGCGTAGGGAAGTGAATACAGGTTTAAGGGCACAACCCTCGCACTAGGCCCCCTCCCCCGCCGGATATTTGCGGTTTTCTTTCAACCAAATGAAGGTGCAGTATAATAATTGCTATAATTCACACGGTATTGCATGAGAACATTCGGGGGGAAATGTTGGCAAGAATAGTCCGCAATTTAGCCCGCCGTTGGCATAGATATCTTATATACACTAGATAGCGCATCTTTTTAAGTAAAATTGAAGTCAAGAATATTCCAACGGTTACCCCCATTTGAATAGATGGCGGCCATGTTGGAGTTTCCCACTCGCTAATAAACGCTTAAAAAGCAACAATGACTTTCATCATTTGAACAGTTTGAAAATGTATTTGGAATAGGTTTAACTTAATGTTTAAGTTCCCTGTTTAAGAAATAGAAAACATACGAGTCTTCTCATTTCATGGGAATATCCTGAGTCTGCAATCACGGCTTCAATTTTTGAATTGCAGAATAATTAGATGCACTATCTAGTGTATATAAGAAATCTATGGCCGTTGGTGATTAATGTCTAATATATCCATTTGAAACGCATCTCTCCCCTATAGACCCATTGCACTGACGTCACAAACCCTTAGAGTGTCCTCCAGATGCTCCCTAACAATATCTGTTCGGGTACAAAAACCACATACAGCGCAAAAATCAAGCATTTTAATAGAAAATTATTATAAAGTTTTACAAAATTTGCTTTGTTCACAAAAGTTATATTATGCATAGATTGCTAATTTGTCCTCCAGATGCATCGTCGCCGGCGCTGTGACGTCATGTGCAATGGGTCTATACTACCAAATGGCAGAAGCAAGATGAGATATGTACTGACTCTTTCTATAATCTTTGTAAGAGGATTTTTTGTATCTTACGTTACACGCG